GTTATGAATAATTCTTAACCTAATAGCTTACCTCACTTGCTGAAGGATGGAACAGGACATTTTCAACACGGCCCTTAAATACCAAAGAACAGACTGAATGTAAATAATGTTATGAACCTAACTTGGTTAAAACTCAAAACTGGCAGACCAGGTGGCTATTTACAAGACAGACCAAGGAGTTGAACAATTGAGAGCAGCACCAGCTAGTGGCCAGAATAAGACTTGAGCCCTCAATCCTTCAAGAACACTTCAAGTCCACCACTTAAACCACTCAGTCACGCTGCCTCTATTAAACTTACTTACAGGTAGTTGTGGTAGAACACAAAGTGGTGATGACACCAGCTCCTTTATTCCTTCCTCTGGAATTTGCCACAATTTTATCTGCAAAAATCAAGCGTAATAGCCAACTTTAGTGGCCAGTGCCATTGTGGAGAATTGGTCATTGTAGAAAGGTTAAATGAAAAGGAACATAGAGACCATCCACTGAGAAATATACAAGTTGTAGAGAGTTCGTTAGTTTAGATTTGACTGTTTACACATCCACTTGAAACAATTCGATAAAACAATGAGTGTTACATCTGATTGTCTCGCAGAATGCTTTTTAGGAAAATGTAAAAAACTTCAATCAATTAATAAAAACTATTGTCTGAACTGTTGAGAATTTAAGTGATAAATTAGTTACTTTAATTAGGTAATAAAGAATTCAATTCTTTTAACAAATATGATATCTCACCGCACAGTCATATGAACAGGTTGAAAGAAGTCTCCCATCAAATGGCGAGAAATCCAGGTCAGTCACAAAATCTAGATATTAAAATATTATTGTACATACAAACATCAATCTACAAATAATTATTACTGGTGTAATGGTTGAACCATGGGCTAGATACATCTGTAACTTGTAAATGTATGTCTTAACACTGAAATAGAAATCCCAGAATAGTGTTATATGACAGATGATAATAACTAAAATACTTTAGACTCTCTGTTTCAATGATCTACCTGAATGTGCATGAAGAAGAGGCAATGATTGTTCCTTCCTTCCTACATCTCCCAGTGGAAGAACACCAAGACTTCCTCCTCCTTAAGAATCAAAAGAAAAAATGTGAAGCAGTTCAAGCCCTTTAGCAATTTGCTAAAGGGCTTGAACCGCTTTGCTTCCAATAATTTATTGGTGGAGGTAGCTGTCATGGCTGAACTCTGGATGAAGAAGTCCAGGTTACAACAAACTGACCAAAGCTGAACACAAATTGACTAGGGACATAAACCCCCTACTTGCTGTCATCAGCTGCAGTACCATAAACCATGGGGCTAACATACAAAGAAACTAAGAATTACAAACAGAATTTATTATATAAAATCAGAATTTATTATATAAAATGTTTGTGTTCAAGGGAAGCACTGACTTGGACTGATTCAAATTCCTATCAGATAACAACTGTAAATTTTCAGGAATGTAACTATAATCCTCCTTAAGTGGACCATGCCCTTTTGTCTGTTCTGGCAAAATAGCTACTTCTACTTATTCCACAATGTTACCGCTACATATTGTACAATGTCAGAAATACCATTTTCCAAGTTTTGACGAGTTATGGATAATGTCCTACCTCCAGCATCCACATTGAATACCATAAAGCTGTCACTAGCTTTGATGTGATTTCCATACGAACTCTTTAAGTTTCCAACTCTAATATCAGTTATGCACTCCTAAGATAGGGTAACTCAATTGGTCAAACAAAATGTAATAACATGCGATTTGCATGTAAAAGTGTGTTTCAGTTGAGTGTCATAAATCCAAAATCAAAGCAATCACAACCTCCATCCACAGCAAATGTAAGCAAGCAATTTAATATTGTGAACCAATATGAGCACACAGCTAAGACACATAAATGGTGTTATGACAAGGGTTTCATTAATGTTTTCATAGGC